CGGTGACTTGGGACACCAAAAGCCAAACTTTTCCCAAGTGGCGACTCTGAATTAAATAAATAACCTCATTTCGAATATTGTCACTTAAATTGGAAAAATTCCCCTCGCGCATTTAACCCTTCGGGGCCGGGCGCGCAAAAAGGAGGTGTGACACTTCCTATTAAGAAAATGTTGAAAGATGTTAATCTTTATGAAATAGACTAATAATGAAATAATGCCAATCTTTTTGAATAGCGGGAGTAAAAAGGTAAGAATATTCCAATGATTTAATAAATCTGGAAATATATGTATATAACTATCAATTCCTTGGATTTTAAAAATCAATTCCTACTAAGTCACCTTCACTTCCGAAATGGCCTCTAGGCCACACTTTGAGGTAGAATGTTACAAAAAAAAGTATTATGCTACTTGTTTTTTGTTTTCAAATTAAAAGAAAAAAAGAAAAGAAAAATTACAAACATTAATAAGTAGTAACCGTATTTAAAGAGCAACAGTATCGGCCAGAAATAAAAACAGATCATAGGCCGTGCTAAAAAGATGAGTAAATTATTATGAAACTGTTAGGAAAGTATTAAATAAAACTCATCCCCAATGTTAGCTCAAGGAGCTTTCCAATAGTTTTGCACAATGCCATTTTATTGATTCACAACAGACCTTCTAATATGGGATGATCTTCAGCAGGGTTTTTTAGGTTAATATTGGATGACAGTTTCTGAAGATCCTTCTCTAATGACCCAAGCTCTTCATTCATCAGCCTAAGTGTTGCCGTGGTGTCTTCAATTCCAAGGATAAGTTCTTGTCTCCGTATGCTTATTCTTTTCATGCTAAATATGTCTTCAACCTTTGCTAAACGTTTTTCAAGCCAGCCTATCTCAATACCACTCAGTTTCAAGTCCCGAAGGTAACGTTTAGCTTCACTATGATATTTGATGTCCATGTTCCCCGTGGTGAACTGTCCGAGCAAGTAAACTAACTCCGCCAAAATCTCCAAGCACATTGATTGGAAAATGGGACTTGTTGCCTTGAAACTTGAAAGCGTGCTAGGGTACTGCGAGATAATCCTGTTCAGTATTGGGATATATCGTCGAGCCACATGATAACCCTCCCAATGGACTTTCTCGTCAGCATGACCAGGTCCATCATAAGGAATTTGACTTGAAATAGATGTGGGATGCATAGCTTTGGAAGAGTTCTGCTGATCTTTATTGAAAAAGTTTTGCATATTGTGGTTTTCAGAAGGAGATTGCCCATGCAGAGGAAAATCTGTTCCTTGAAAGTTTTGCCACTCCTCAGAATCTACAATGACAAGTTAGTCAACAACTGATGAAACTCAAAATAAACGGATAAATGCTGAATCGCTCGGATTGTTCCAAATTCTTGTGATTATGCCATAAAACAAACATTTGACACAACATAAAGAGGTGTACCTTGCATAATGGGCAGGAAGTGATCATTGTCTGTGTTTGATGAGACTGTGTAATCCAGAGGGAGATTCTGTGAAACTATTGGAAGGATATCCTTGATTATCTCTGTGTCCTCCAGTTCCAGTCCTTGAATCGGGTTGAAATCCCAAGAACTTGACGTGATCGCTTTAGGTTCCTCCGTACCTCTGATGCTTTCTATTTCCGCAGGATTTGATACCTCATTATGTTTTCTTGTGCCACAAGTTGACTCTACATTGCCTTCCAGAGGAGAAATGTATATAGTGTGATCACTGTGTCTCTTCTCCCCTATTCCCGAAGGTGTCATACTATGTTGAGGAGGAGAGTAGACTATGGCCTCCGCATCTTCCATGTGTTCCTCATCTTCGTTAAGAAACACATTTGTATTTTGTGAAAATTGATTTATTTGCATCTGGTCTTTTTCATTCGTCATACATGTAAAACTAGGAAAGCACAGCCGAGTATTATGGAACATCAGTCAAGCAAGAAAGGTTTTTGGTTAAGTAAATCCTGAATATTCCATACCTCTCGTGAGAATTTGCAACTTCAGATGGCATCGTAAATGTCATGCTAACTCCAAGCCCACGGTTAATAGCTTCCAGGTATTTGTTCAAGCTTATAATAAATTGACTTGTTCTGTAAGGTTTAAGCACAAAAAAGAAAGGTAAAGGTGTCTTAAGCCATAGCATCTACACATGATGATTAACGCAGTGACTTGGTGGCTTACTGCGTCACAAAAAGAGTAGATTCTTATAGCGGAGAACACTTATGCAGACGTTTTCTGAGCCTACTAACTAGATTTTATTAAATGCTGTTCCAATTCCTCAAGTGAAGAAATCACACTGCAAATGTAATTGACTTACTGGGGTTTGCAGTAGACAGAAAAGGGTCTCTGGGATGCAAGAGCATCAGAAGCAGCAGCAAGCACTCCTTTGATATCTAAGCTGGAAGCTATTGGCGCTTCAACTGAGCTCTTCTCACAAAGTAGATGTCTAAACCCCACATGTACATCTCCATTCTCTTCCCTTCAGGGCAAATGAAACTAACTTAAATACACATGGCAGTATACAGACGCTATTATAGAAAATGCAGCACAACATAGAGACCTGGAACAAAATACCTTAAGAAGACAACTAGATCTCCAGCAACCAATTTTTTACCATTAACAAATGCACTCCAGCCATTAGTGAGTAGATGTCTCCTCGGGTGGCCTACTCAATTTTTATTCAGAGAAGACGTTAACTTAAAAGTATGAAAGGGCCAAACTTTTAACTTAACCAGTCAAATATTTGATTCTCCCAAACAATTGTTTGTGACACAATTAGCACTTAATTACTTTGTGGAGTCGAATAACTTTTTATTCGACCATTAGTTCATTAAATGTATTTTCATATTTCATTTTTTAAGATGTGTGGTTTATGGTACTATTTATTCTCCAAAAACCTACTATATGGTACTGTTGGGAAAAGGTGTTACCTCCAAAGACATGCTTAAAGCGCCATTCTTTGCCAGGAAGGTCTTTCACTACTAATTCCTGGATAGGTTTATCTCGAGACATATCCTGATCGAACAAGGATAACAGTCTAAAGAAATTAATGCCAAGTACTAATTAAGATTCTAGAGGAATATGAATAGAAAATTCTTCAAATTAAAAACTATTAGACAAGAAACACCACCAGAAGAGGAAAGCATTTCACAGCATCCTTTTGAGGAATAGACAAACCCCAATTACTTTTTGTATCCGAGGCAGTTAAAACCTTGCAGAATGAGTGGATTTGGGGCCTTGGAATCTCAGAATGATAAAAATCAGGATTTACTGGCTCTGTTTGCTGCAGAGTATAGCAGTGGATTGAATAGTAAGTTTCATCTAACATAAACCCTTTAAAATAACAAGCATGGTGATCTTGTTAAAATGGGATTTCTTCTTGTTAGAAAGAGAAAAGAAAAGTTGAAAATAATCTTACATCATGTTTTGGCAACAAATTAATTTCTGCACAAACTTCTTCCGAGATGTGCTCAACCTACAAAGTAAAACAATTATCACTAAACAAATAAGCCCCAGATCTTCTTACATCTAAAACTCAGCTTTAAGAACATAAATCTTGACGAACCGTTTTGCCCCTTATCAATCCATGATGCATCATGCTTAAGGAAACTACTGTAAAAATCCGTCCAAGTTTTCTGTTGTTTAACTCATTCCCATATCAATAACAGATGAACATCTCCTATAAAAAATAAGGAATCAAAACTAAACTAGCTGGTACTGTGAGTGCGCCTTCTACCAAAAATATGATGCAAATTCCTCATCCAATGCTTATCTCCAAGTTGGAACTGCATTGTTTTTCTATTAGAAATCGATCAATAACAGCCTGAGGTTTCTTTCTTGCAAAGTCAGCAGACGTTAGTATTTAATACCCCACCCAAAAAACTCCTCACCTGAAATTGTCAGGCGTTGGGAGGACTCCAACATAGGACTATGTGCACTTGATCCCAGTATATAATAGCAGAAAGTCTATTCCTCAATATCATAGTTGCTGATTTGCATAATCAAGATCCTCCAATATTCACACCAAAACAGAAATACAAGATTGGAAGCTTCCCATAAATCAGCAAAACAGGAAAAACATGTCTGTCTATCACGAGAAATGCAATTCTAGACTTGGTTTATTCACATTTCTAATGCTAACGGACCAGTCAAAAAACACCTGTAGAAGAAAACCTGAAGCTAGCTGAAACATTTATAAGTAGTATATACTATATACAAAAGTTAAGATTTTGAGCCCATTGTGAACCAATAATCACATGTCAGACATCATTTATGTTCCAAGACTGAACCAATGTATATTATGTCCAAAAAACTTCAACTAACTATTAATATTGTCTAATTCAGATCCGTCTACTTTCTTCGCATGTGTAGGCAATGGCATATTTTCAAACAAATTTTACACCTGTTTGCAGAATATAACAGAACAAAATCTTGGGGACAATTGCGATACTAAAAATGCCAAATAAAGTCATTACACTCTTTCATTAATCAATCATGGACTTTTCTCTACAGCCTAGGCAACCATAATCCAAAATGCTTAACGATGAAACTAATCTATGAATTTTCAGGAAAAATAAATGCTGCAAATGAGCAAGCATACCAGAAAACGAACATGAACAACACGGCAAAGGATCTTTAAGTATGGGTCTGAAATTGGTGTTCCTTGGTTCAGTTCCTGATTTGATGATTGCTCCAGCTACCCAAAAGCAGCCAAGGAAAATAGTAAAAAGAAAAACATTTTCTGAATATTGTGAACAAACCAGTGGAAAATCACAAGAACCAAGATTTGTTTGTACTTGAAAAAAGACCAAGAATACCTGCTTAATGTGAAGTCCAGGAAAGTAGTACACTTGTTCTCCAACTCTAGGAACATCCATGAATTGACCAGCAAAGGCCTTCCATAATTCCCTATACAGATCATCATCACCTGAGGTAAATAGAAATACAACTTTTAATTCTGAAAAGTTGAAAACATAATTAGTACTATGCTTTATCTAATAGCTTAATCTTTTATATTAAATGGTCACACGCTTCAACATGGTATCACAACACGCAGCTGAGGTCCTATAATTAAGTAAATAAGGTGCTATCTCTAAAATTAAGCTTTTAAATGAGACACTAAAATATGATCACACACTTCAACATCAATAACCCAAAAAAAAAAAGGAAAAATAGGGAATTTTAACATTTACCTCTAGAAGTAACATGGTTTTGTTTCTTTGGATGTGAAGGCCACATTTGTCAAGATAAAAAAACTGAAATATGAAAATGGATCGTTGTAATTTTAAGCAGATAATAAAATGGCATGTAACTTTATATGGTTGCATTGCTTCTGCAACTTTTTCTCCGTCAACGGATGGAAATGTAGCAGGTAATAACATATACTTGCGTGTGTGAGTGTGTGACATTTCCATTGGAAAAAAAAAAGTGTAAACACAAAAAATTCTAAGTCAGACCGACATTTGCAGGATTAAGAACCGGCCATTTTGACGAGAACTGATTAATTATATGGATAATGTGCATGATTTCTGAAAGCGATGGGTCCCTCCACTGGAACGAGGAAATTTGATGGGTTTTTAAAAAAGACTTCGGTTGACAAGAAAAGCACTCTAATTAGCCAAATTGAAAATGTCAACAATTCGGAAAAAGAATTTTAGTTAGGAGTCCTTTGATTTGTGCTAAATTACAATGCAAAAATTAGTAATTCAGGAATTATAATACAAATATTAATTCTTCGGAAAAGGGTCATATTTATCCATGTACTCTTTAAAAATGGTTATATTTGTCCTTCGTTATACTTTTTTGATATATTTATCCTTATCATTATACTTTAGGATCATATTTATCCATGTACTCTTTAAAAATGGTTATATTTGTCCTTCGTTATACTTTTTTGATATATTTATCCTTATCATTATACTTTAGGATCATATTTATCCATGTACTCTTTAAAAATGGTTATATTTGTCCTTCGTTATACTTTTTTGATATATTTATCCTTATCATTATACTTTAGGATCATATTTATCCATGTACTCTTCAAAGAGGGTTACATTTGTCATTCGTCATACTTTTTGACATATTTATCCTTACACTTATACTTTATGATCATATTTGCCCCTCATCCATTAAATCCCCATGTCCCACCTTTGTTTTCCTACATGGTGCCTATGTGGATTTCTTTTTCCTCCAATTTAAATATGGTCAACTATTTAAGATAATTTAATTTAACCATAAACCATAAACCATAATTTGGTTGTCTGCACTTATTTGTGTCTTTGGGCAGCCAATATATAAAATATAGTGGCTTCATTCTGATAATTCACATTACTCTAATATTATTCGTCATTGTAGGTTTATGTTAAACCAGGTCGAAGATAAGGGGTGGAGCTAGAGTATTAGGTATGGTTTGAATGAACTCTATAGCTTTTGTTTAGATTTGTGTTCTATTAGGAAATACATTAAATATGTATAAATATTTAATTACGAACTTAATAACTAAAATGAGCTATGAGCAAGATCAGAACCCATAAACTTTAAATCATGACTCTGCCATCCAAAAAGTTGAATTATTTAGATATACTTTTTTAAATATGTAATTTTATTTTATTTTTGAAAAACATGAAAATTATATACCCAAATCACAAAAAAACTAGATGTTTTGACCCTTGTAATCGAATTCTTTCATATAAAATGAGAGGAGGGAGCAATATTTTCTTTTCGAGAAAAAATATGTTTGAGGAAACCATCCTAGACAATATTAGGCTTCTGGCAGTGCTCTATTTTAAGCACGGACCTTTGTCATTAATTCCATTGTTGTGCAACTTCTCGTAATTTAATTTGGTTACTGCAATAATTGTAAGTTGTATCAGATTAGTGATTTTGAGTTCAAAGTTCTTGTTTGCCAATATGTTGTCGCTGCTATCCGAAAAATATGGAGCTGAAATAGTGCCATTATCTTAAATAGGTGACCATATTTAAATTGGGTGGGCAGATTAAATTATCTTAAATAGTTGACCATATTTAAATTAGAGGAAAAAGAAATCCACATAGGCACCATGTAGGAAAACAAAGGTGGGACATGGGGATTTAATGGATGAGGGGCAAATATGATCCTAAAGTATAAGTGTAAGGATAAATATGTCAAAAAGTATGACGAAGGACAAATGTAACCCTCTTTGAAGAGTACAGGGATAAATATGATCCTAACGTATAGTGGTAAGGATATGATTCAAATTTGCTCATGAATTATGAGTGATCTCCTTTAATACTTGATCGTTGAAGTCAACTGTATCCCTGTTACAAAACTAGGCTAATTTTGCCCTTACGTAGTAAGGAGCTTAGCCAACGCAAGAAGGAAATAAATAGTTTTCTTGCATCATTTCTCTTGTCACCATTGAGCAATGAGCTATATGATATGTGGAAAACTCAAAAAAATTAGCCGCTTTACTGTAAAGACAAGATAATGAAGAGAAAGTTACTCAAGTGATGAGCAACCTTGTATATGAGGAATGGAAAGGTTTCCCATTCCTCATATAAAAACATTAATATCACAAGCATATTGAGCAGTCATAAAGTTGTGCAAGTGGGAAAAGTCAGCCAAATAAAAAAATTGTTCGACAATTTTACAATAAAGAATCAAACATGTGAACTATCGATTCAGTATTATTACAGGTTTACAAACATTTCTGTAAATTCCTGCAGGTCCTTCAGATTCCTATGTACAGTATTTTAGTCGCTGCAGGTCACTGTAGATTTGTATGCTATAATGGATATATTTTCCAATAACCGCGATCAAAAGAATGAATAGGCTGTGCTGACCAATATTTGTATGAATCATAGGCTACCTGCTACTTCCATCCACGGTTTCCTCTCTTCCTTTTAACTACAAGAAGCTGCATTTGCTCCCACCTTTCAGAAACAACTGAATGAGTACTATACCCATATTCTTCACTGGGTTTTTCAAGTGGTCATGTCACTTATGTGTGTCTGAGAAGATGATGCTGCTCTGATGTTCAAGAACAGCCTTAGTGGGTGCTCGACTTTTCAAAATCATTTCTTCATACTCATCATCAGGGTCTGAAAGAGCTGTAATGGCTCCCCCTGCTCCTACTGAAGCTTCTCCTTCGTGTATGACAACAGTCCTTATCACAATGTTGAGATCAAATGCTTGGTTATAAGAGAAAAATCCAATGCAGCCCGAGTAGATGCCCCTAGAACAATTTTCAAGATGATCAAGAAGTTCCATTGATCTCAACTTTGGTGCACCTGTCATTGACCCACCAGGAAATGCAGCTCTAACACATTCAATTGCACTTACGTCTGATCGCTTTTTCCCCCGGATCGTACTGACCATGGTGTGAACTGTTGCATAGGATTCGATTTCCATGAGATGTGGGACATGAACAGAGCCAGGCTCACACACACGCCCGAGGTCATTCCTCAACAGGTCAACAATCATCAAATTTTCCGCCTGATCCTTTTCACTGTGACAAAGCATACAGAACTTGGTCAGGATTAGTAAGCATGAGTTCTGTTCCAAGACAACTTATGACACAATCATACAGCCACCAGATGGTGCAGAAATACAATTTCAAAACTGAATATAGAAGTTAAATAAAGAACTAAACAACTTAAGCAGACAAAGTAAAGGTGGCTGACGGGATGATCCAACCAGTATTAGAGGCTAAAAAGCATGTATATAAGTGCCAGAGCTGAGAAGAACTAACAACATAAAAGACTAGAACGTCTGGGAGAAATGACGTTTAGACGTGAAAGGAAAACATACTATATAAGATAAAAGGTAACACAAGTCGATAGTCAGAAAGCTTCCTGAGGAAAATAAGTGTCAGCGAGAATTTGAGTATTAGATGCTACTATTATGATCCTTCGATTTCTGTACCTGTATTCTAATTGCAGTTTCAGAAATTCATCTTCTTTAGGGGTGGAACCACGAGCTATAGTCCCTTTTATGGGTTTTGCTTCCAGAATTGCATTCCTATCCAATCGTAGGAACCTTTCAGGAGAAGAACAACATATGCTTAGGTCTTCCCTTGAAAAATTAAGCCAGGCAGCATATGGTGCGGGATTTCTTTCTCTGAGATTAAGATAAAGTCCCAGAGAATCTATTTCCCCCAATTTCATTCTCATCTGGGTTGTAAGGCACAACTCATAACTTTCTCCTTCTTTTATGAAATCTTGACAACTCTTAACGTCTTTGATGTACTCCTCTCTTGATTTCTCAGCAGAAAAACCTGATTTTAGTTGGACCATTGCCAATCCTCGAGATGCCCGTGATTGCAACCTTTTGGTCATAGAAGCTCTCAAGTCGAGCAGCCTCTTCTCCACATCGTCCAAGTATGAAGTACTATTTGTGCTCACATTGTGTAGTGACAAAGTATATATGTCGTCACACTGATGATCGATGACAATAATATTATCCGTAAAGAATAAACAAGCATCTGGTGCCTTCGATCTATGACGATTAGATGCCATGCCACATTCAACTTTGAGATCATACCTGTATCGAGAAAACCACAAGAAGATCAAGTCATGAGAAAAAATTCTTCCTCCAAATGCACATGCAAAAATGAAGAACTAAGTTTAACAACCCAACCTCCTAGAGATCAACTATATTTGAGTCCTACCCAGCATAGAACCACCACAGATGATAAGAATGTGAAGCTTTCTGCTATGCTTGACTTAATTTGTCATAAAACTTAACAATGACAGAAAACCAGACATAGCCATAACTACATGAGCAGATGACATTTCTCATGCACCCGTCCAATTTACAACTTCTTTTACCCCCTACATGCAGCAGTGAATGATTCAAGCAAAAAAAGGAAAGAGAACTTCCAAACATACAAAGTAAATCCTTGAAACATTTAGAAGTACTTAACAGAATAGAGTACGAGGAGGATTTAAATTATTTGACATAAAATCATGACATACCCGATATAACCAATGTAACCACCATAGAAATCAAATGGTAATCCTTCATAATCCTTCTCATCAAAACAAAATGATAGGAGCTCCTGGTGCAGAGATATAGGACCTAATTAGGATACTTGTGCGCAAAATAATTCGCAAAAATATTCTTCCAAACAAAATTCATCAATCTAGTCTAGATAATTCTTGGAAGGAACTCGACATCCTTAATGAAAGAGGGCGGAGCCTCTCCTGAACACAGAACAAAAAGGAGCTCGAAATTATACTTAGATAAAAATTAACCATAAGTATAAACACAAAGAAAACAGCCATTGCTTACAATAAATTAAATAGGACATCAGATGAACAGATTTTCTAAGCCACCGAAGATATTGGAAAACATGTTATTTTATTGCCCGCAGTCAACTTGTTAATGGGAATATCCCACGATAGCATTTCATCTGCTTGCCTTACCCCAATTTACTAAGGACTGTGACATTGACTGAGGTGGTGATTTTCAATTTCAGTGACACATATTGAAAGAAATTGCCAGAAACTACCTTATTTACATAATCAAAAAATCCATCTTCCAAAAATGTAGTTTTAACATGGCCATAAGCATCTTCAACTGATAGATCACCTCCTTTACACGTTATGTCACTGAAAATATAAAGCAACGTGTTACTGAAAAATGATGTAGCATTCAAGCAGAGATCAATAGAGAAATGGAAAGATCTAAAGCAAGGCACTCAGGAAATATTTGAAGAGATTTTCACCTGCGATTTGACAATCTAAACGTAAGTTGCTTCCAGAGTGAACCTCCTTTTCCCCCCATAAAGGAAAATCTAGCCCTTCCCTGAATAAGCTGAATCATGGTTAGGAACGCGGCGGCGGCGGGAAGAGGCGGCGGCGGCTACATTTCATTTGATAAACCACTCAATAAAAACTACCCTAAGAAACTATTGAATCTGATTTTCTTGCTTTTAAAATTTAAACTGACACAAAAGTGGCAATAGTTTTTTTTTTTGGGGTGACAACCAAAAAAAGAATCATGTAAGGTGCTGAAACTACAACAAGCTGGAGAAGAAAGGACCTTTTCTATTGAAGAACTATCCAGCCAGAAACTGTTTTTAGCCTTTTGATCTCCAAATAGTTCACAGAAAATATTTTCCGCTCCACCAACTTGGCTGGCAGAGCAATCTAGTTTTTTCCATGTCATCTTCAAAAATTTTACACTGTACTTCGGATGTGATAGATTTAAGATTTCATCAATTTTGACAGTTCTCCGCTCAACCGATTTATTCACCAGATGCCCATTTCTTGCAGCACCTTGGGACAGCGGGCTTACAATAGGAACCTGCATGCATGCTAAGTAAAATTTACCGCTCAGAGTAAATGTGGGAACACTCTACTGAAACAGAGCAGGAAAAACTGAAAGCACTTAGCTGCTGGTTTTAGGAATTACATGCTTGGTAAATAGCATATGAGATGCATACAAGACAACCCATCAAAATTAATTACTTGCAAGTACATTTAATGAACCCGAGAAATGATAGGAAATTCAGACACCTTTTTGACACAACCATTTGTAAAGTTCTATAATAAACAAATAATCCAATCACATGGAAAGGACTCAAAGAGTATAGGAGACTAAATAAGCATAATCCAATCTCTATTTTATAGTGCAGTTACCAGCATAATGAACCCTTCTCTCATTGATGGAGGCTGACGTTAACCTGAGCCAATAATCCTCTGTGATTTTCCGGAAATTTTTGAAAAGCTGTTTTCCATGATATGTTGCAACACTCTCCGGGTGGAACTGATAGCAAAGGCAAAATCCATGTTACATACTAGTAAAAGAGGAGCAGATTCTCATGCAAAGTGAATGACCAAACTCACCTGCAATCCATAGTGAGGCCTACTAGAATGCATGACACCCATAAGGACTTTTCCACCTTGCACATCCTTTGATTCACTTGATAACTCCGACATCCCACGAAAAATATCTTCTGCTTCTTTGGATGCATGAAAGAATGAATCGGATTGTCCAACACCATGGAAAGGGAGTGTCTCAGTCGTAGAGGTCCAAGCTATGGGAATGAGTTCCTTTGGGAGTGATTTTGGGTCTATGACAAGGGAATGGTACCGAACCACCTGAAATGTGTCAAGAAAGTTCAACCAAGATAAAGTTACTTCTATGATTTCCATCTTCTCTTTGTTATCTAAACACAAATTTAAATTGTTCTATAATTTAAAGATCGATGTAAAGCTTCAGGTAGCAAAAATTACACAAGTACTAGCACTTATTTAGAAGTGATCAGTCTGTCTCAAACACACAAAGCCATCCAAGTTAGAACCAATCGCTTCTTTGAATTTGACTTTAAAAGGTTAAAACTCCAAAAGAGATAAAATATTGTCTTCTGCAATTTTAGTACTAGGATTCCTGCTGATGTATGTTTCAGTTTTCTCTTAATTATTTTTTTCCTTCTACAGTTTACAACAACTCTTCTTATACTTCTTTTGACTTGCTTCTTTCTTAATGATTTCGTCTTCAAGATAACTTGTTCTTCTTTTTCTTCTTCCGTCTGCGTCTTTTACTTCTACTACTTCTGTTTAAGGCTTTCTTCTGCTTCTCTATCCTACCCTTTCTTGATGTCAACGATAAATTTTTCTCCTTTTCCTGTTTGTTCTCTAATTATTCTCCGATTCTTTAATTATAGGCTAAATACAGGACAATAAAAAATATCCCTTTAAAATTACAGCTAATTTCAATATTGTTTATAAAGCAGTTAACCAATTGATTGAAACTGAAGATCATAGTAGTGATTGACGTTATCTTGTTGTGAGCTTGTTGACCTTAAATGATATTTAATTTGAGTTGTTGATTAATATTGTTTATGATGTATTGGATATCGAAATTAGAAATGTAATTGCTAATAATACATACTATAATCCCACTTGCTAGACAATTTCTGTATTTTCTGTATATTGTGTGTGCTTTACATCAAAGAAGCAGGTGCTTCATCACCTCGCTTTTCACCTAAAGCCCCAAGAGCCTTGTCATTTCTTGTTCTTTTTGCTTTAAAAAAGCACTGACTAATACAAAGTCACCACCTCAGGAAGCCTAACACTTCTATTTCAAAAACATTTAAGCACGGAGAATTTATATTTTATGATTATTAGGAAAAGAATAATATTCTTGATACACCTCCCTCCCCTTCTACAAATTAAGGGTGGCAAAACTAACCCAAACCCATTTGACCCTGCCCAAGTTTTAATGGGTTTGGGCTAGAGCGATTTTGAAGATGGGCTGGTTTGGGCTAGCCCAAATTAACCCAACTTTATGGGTACACTGTAATATCATCAAATTGAGCAATCAATTTGGGATGGATTTTTTAGGGTGTGAGAAGGAAGCTCTAGCACTCTTTATGAAAATTGATAGCGGAAGAAAACCGAGCAAAACAGGAGCAGAGAAGGCTATTGCTACGACACCAAAATTCAAAGGCATTCATGAGGTAAAGGGGCTGGTTTTTAATATGAAATTCAAGGAGAATGGGCCAAGGTGTAGAAACAGGGGGAGAGCGATAATTGAGGATCATCCATGAAAGTATAAATTATTTCATGGAATGTGAGGGGATTAAATAGGGAGGAAAAAGAGAGAAAGGTGAATAGTACGGTTCANGGGGGGGGGGGGGGGGGAGGGGTATAACAATAACGTGGGATAGGAGAATCTGGAAGGGAGAGGTTTTAAATATTGGGCTTCATTCTTTAACTTGTCATTTTGAGGCTCAAGGACAGGATTTCACCTGGCACTTGACGGGGTGTATGGTCCAAATACTACTAGAAGAGAGAGAAAGGGGTTATGGGAGGAAGTGGGAGCTTCTAGAGGTTTGTTTGGTGGTCCCTGGGTAGTTTGTGAGGATCTCAACACAACTAGCTTCATCTCAAAAAAGAAGAACAATAACAGGTTGACAAGAGCCATGAAAGACTTTTCAAAATTTATTGAGGAAATGGACCTTATTGATCTACCTCTTTCTGGGGGTAATTTCACTTGGGCAAGGGGTAACAGACATGAAATTTCGAGCAGATTGGACAGATTCCTCATCTCATCAGAATGGGATGAGGAATTTAGAAACATAAAACAATCGATGTTGCCTAGAATCACATCAGACCACATCCCAATCGAGTTACAATGTGGGAATTGGGAACCTAACAGGTCCTACTTCAAATTTGAGAATTGGTGGCCGGAAGTGGAGGATTTCAATGAGTTAGTGATTAATTGGTGGGACTCTTTTGTATTTGAAGGGAGACCTGATTTCATACTAGTAAGCAAGCTCAAAGCTGTGAAAGAGAAGTTGAAAATATGGAAGAGGGATAGCATGGAGTTTAGAAAATCAAAAGAACAAGATCTTGAATCAGATTTCTATCTTGAAAAGGAGCAGGAGCAAAGACCTTTAACTGAGGATAAAATTTTATTGAAAACTAGCTTATGTATGAATTTGGAAGAGCTGGCCAAAAATGAAGAAATAGCATGGAGGCAGAGAGGTCCAGGACTTTATGGCTAAAACAGGGAGATAGAAACACAAAGTTCTTCCAAAGAACTGCTAATGCTCACAGAAGATATAATCACATAGACCAACTGTAAGTTGATGGAGAAATTGTTAAAGAACCTGCTGATATCAAGAGGGAGATACTACCCTTTTATCAAAAGCCATATACTGAGACAGAGGAATTGAGACCTGGCTTCAATATGAGTAACAACCCCAGAATTGAAGAAGCTGAGACAACAGAGACCATTTGAGGAGGAGGAAGTGTTCCAGATCATTAAGCAGTGTGCTATTGACAAAGCTCCCGGACATAACCATGAGTTTTTTTAATAAATGCTGGGAGATAATCAAAGAGGATATCATGAGAGATATACAAAACTTTCATAGCAGGGAATTTTTTTAAAGAAACTTCAATGCTACTTATGTGGCCTTGATTCCAAAGAAGAATGGAGCAAAGGAGCTAAAGAATTACAGGCTGATAGGCCTGATAAGTTCAGTCTGCAAAATCATCTCTAAGGTGCTAATTGAAAAGCTGAAGGAAGTGATGTATAAATTGGTGGACATTCAACAAATGGCCTTCATCAAGGCTAGGCAGATTACTGATGCAGTTCTGATTGCAAATGTGTGTGGACTCCAGAATCAAAGATAAGTCACCTGTGATTTTGTGCAAACTAGATGTGGAAAAAGCTTTCGACCATGTGAATTGGATTTTTCTCCTAAAGTTGCTGGAAAATATGGGATTTGGTAGAAAATGGATAAGCTGGATAAAGTTCTGTATTAGTAATAAGTCAGATTTTCGGTTCTTATAAATGGATCTCCAAAAAGGTTCTTTCCATCACAAGGGGCGCTCGGGCAAAGTGATCCTCTATCACTTTTTCTTTTATTCTGGTTATGGAGGGTCTAAACAACATGATATAAACTGCAAAACACAACAATTGGATCAGGGGTTTCAAAGTTTTAAACATGCATGAGATAGGTCTCGAGATCACACATTTGCAATATGCAGATGACTCACTTATTCTATGTTAAGCTCAGACTGATCAACTAAGGATGATAAGGGTGATACTTACTATCTTTGAAGGCGTATCTGGTATTCTGGTTTTCACATTAATTGGGGCAAGAGTTTGTTATTCCCTGTTAATGTAGTCCCTGAGATGATATTTTGGCCCTAATACTAGGAGCTTAGGTGGGAAGCCTTCCAACAGTATTTTTGGGATGCCTTAGGGTGCAAAAAGCAAGTCACATGAGATCTGGAATAGGGTTTTAGAGAGGTGTGGAAAAAAAAAGCTCACAAGCTGGAGAAATCAATACGTATCCCGTGGGGGGGGGGGGGGGGGGGCAGATTAATCTTGATTAACAGTGTACTAGATTTTCTACCTACCTACATGATGTCTTTATTTCCAATCCCAGCAAAGGTGGAAAAGAGAATGGACATTTTAAGAAGGAAGTTCCTATGGCAGGGCAACAAAGAAAAGAGGGGCTTCAATTTGGTATAATGGAAAACTCTCCTGTTATCCAAGTATGATGGTGGTCTTGGTACTAGAAACTTGATAGAACCAGAGCTTACATATGAAATGGCTTTGGAGATTCACCACAGAAGAAAATGCACTTTGGAAACAAGTAATCAGCACTAAATATGGAGTGGAGGGGTCCTAGACAACAAAAAAATGACGACTCCTTATGGAGTGGGGATGTGGAAATCAATCAAAAATCTCTTGCTAATTTTCAGCAATCAAAAAGGTTTCAAGGTGGGGAATGGTATGAAGATCAATTTCTGGGATCGAAAATTGGGGAAGTCTGGAACCAACAGGGGTAAAGCCTAACATTCTTCTGAATGACTGATGTCAAGAATTGCCGAATTCTATAAGACACTTGAGCAATTCAAGGGTTTGGAGCAAACGGTGGACAGAATTTGGTGGCAAGGACACAACAGAGGCCTATTTACACTGAAATCTACATATGGGAACTTGAACAATTCTCCCAACCAGCTGGAGTTGTGGCCTTGGAAACACATATGGAAAGTTAAAATTCCAGATAAGGTGGCATGCGTTATGTGGTTGGTAGTTAAAGAGGCTTGCCTAACAGATGAAAAGTTTATGAGGAGAGGAATACCAATATGCTCAAGATGCTATCGTTGTGGGAGGAAAGCTGAACCAACTCTCATCTATTCTTACATTGTGTGGTGACTACCCAAATCTGGAATATCTTTTCGTGCATGGGAGGCATCAGATAGGCAATGCCTAAAAGCTCTTTAGAGCTGCTAAAATGTTGGAACAGGGAGGAGGCCTGCCCAGGCAGAAGAGCAGATGGAAGATGATTCCTCCATGCATTTGGTGGACAATTTGGAAGGAAAGAAACTTGAGATGTTTTGAAGGCATGGTAATAATATTCAGAAGATCAAGATGAACTATCTTTTGTTGTTTCATTTTTGGTGTAAAGAAGAAACCTCAGTGGATACTGAAGCTATACTAGATATTTTGGAAGCTCTGTAAATTGCAAGGATAGGTTTTTTGTTTCTTTTATTTTGCTCTTCATATGTACATATGAATATATGATTTTGGACAGTTTTTGTGCATTGATATATGTACATATGAATATATGATTTTGGACAGTTCTTGTGCATTGATTTATAAAACTTGTTACCATTCTCAAAAAAAAATACCAAAACTCTTTTTCAACCTTCCCCATCCCCACCAACCCCAC